GTGAAAAAATATCAGGAAGAGGCGGGGAGAGGGCAAGCTAAATTTTCTATATTAATGGCACTTTCTTCAGCAATTGGCACCTTTCTGGTAAGCCTTGTCCTTGGTAACAACCATAAACCTGTTGTTGTCACAAACTATAAAGTGGCTGTAGATTTGCTGAACATGGAGAAAGATGACCTTCTGTGCCCATGAGAAAAAACAACCCACACACACTGCATGTACTTGACTTTGACCAGTTTGAAAGGAAACCACCCATTCTAGCCATCTTTTAATACTAAAAAAAAGGAAGCTTCTCTTAAGCCACCAGAACCTTAAAACAGAACCACTTCACATGCAACCACTGAGGCTAGTACAGATGTTCAAACAACCCGAGGTGGATTCGATCCAAGTTACAGGATTTTTTGTAACTGGTATAGATAGTTTAAAATTGGTAGCGGACAGAATACACATATGCCCTTGGGTTGGGGGGCAAATCTTAGGCCAGGTTCCACCATTTGTAAAACCAACCTGTGTGTGCTGAACTTCTGTTCTGTTACAGAAGCAATCAGAAACCTATCTATACCAGTAATAGAACAGAAGTTTGGTACACAAAACTGATCTATGCCCATAAAAGCATAATGTCTGTACCTGGCCTGAATGTTTTGCTTTTCTTTCTTCCCAGAGTCACATTTCTACCACCCTTCATATTCACCTAAAATACCAAAGAAGAGAGACTAGACTCAGCAAAACTGAGGAGGGGAAAAGCATGCATAATGGTACTGCACAATTCTAAGTGGGCTAAGAGCCAAAAAGGCATCCCCAAAAAGTTCAAACCAACTTAAAACTGCTTTAGATTGCTAGGACTGAGAACTGGCAGGAAACTATGCACTCTATTCAATCGCCAACACATTCCCTTTGTAAAGTGGGTAGATCCTGTAGAAGAAAGCTCCCTTTTCCTCTTGCCTGCATTTGCTCTCCCCTCTTTGAATATGTTTTTCCTCTTCTACTTTTTCTTTCTTCCTCTTTCTTTCACGTTAAGATAAGGAATTGTGTTTTAAAATTTGTATGTGTGCATTTTGTATCTCCCCATGTATTTTGGTATTTTTATCCATTTGTGTGCCATGGCATTTGTAGCTTATATTTTATACTCCTCACCTTTCAACTGTAAATGTGTTTAGTAGCAATGTTAACAAGGGCAGGAGTCAAACTGCCGCTTCCCTGTATCAGGCTGGCCCCTGAAAGAGCAAGCGAATCAGTGATTGAATGTGTAACAGTAGCAGACAGCAATTAACACCTAAGGAAACTGCAGCTCAACCAACGGGAACAAAAAAAAAAAACAAAAACAAAAAAAACAAACAAAAAAAAAAAATCAATAGAAGACAGTGTAGCAACCGGGACATCTCTAAACATCACTGATCAAGGGCTAGAAGCCCTGGCCCGAGTTAATCAACGCCGGGGACCAACTTTTGGGTTGAATATCTCCAGATCGACCACTCCCAGAGACCTATTCAAAATTCATCAACGGACTCCCAAACCTGCACGTACATGCGGACGACCCCTGGGGCTGACAGATGCCATCCAGTAGCCACCGAGGGAAGAAGTCCCACAAGGGTCAACGACCCCTGGATTGGGCAAACCTGAAAACTGGGGAGTCACCAAAGTCTGCCAAGGACAGATACAAAGCAGTGAAAAGTGACCCTCAGTGGCACCCTCTTGATCTCCAACTTGACCAGAACCTGACCTGTCCAGCCAGAAGGACCTGCCAGCGACCCCTTTCTGAAGGATAACACCATGCCGAAAGAAGCCTCAACTGGCCATCAATGGCAGACTCCAGCACTTGTAGGATAGGTATACCCAACTCTTGTAGCTTGCTACTGTGTGTGTGTGCGTGTGCGCGCATGTGTGTGGGGACCAGCCCCAAGGTTTATGAATTAACTTCATTAAAGTGTTTCAATCCCCCTAATAAACCATAATTTTTAAGGATCCCAAGTTGGACATTTGTAGCCAACAATCCCACTCTCAAAGGGATCTTCAAGTGCCCCACAGAGTAGCTTTACCATAGCTTTATGCTGTTGAGGTAACGCAAAAGCAACCAGACAGGGTGAAGAATCTGGTCCCACAGGGGAGGCAAGGATACATCTAGGACAGTAGGTTCTCTTTAAATCTGAGATATTGTTGTACATATACAAAATAAGAACATTTCCCAATCCACAGTTCAGTGACATACAGCGTATATACTTACCAAACCATTTTGCACTGCCACTGAATTGGGAGAGTTTCCAGCACATGGTATATCACTGTGGCCTGATAATCCATGCATGGATGCGATTTTATTCTCATTCAGCTGTTTATTTAGCCAGGAAATTACTACAAGGAAAAGGAAAAGTATTCATAAAATGCATGTTCAGCTCTATCTAATAAGAACTCTATTTCTGATTTGTCTCAAAAATAAAAGAGTGAAGTCAAGTATGTCAGGGTAACTTAGCAATACCACATGACAAGGAATTTATTAATTACTTTGAGGCCAATGCCAGCTGTGATAATTTCAAAATAAAATGGCATTACAGTAATTTCAGGGTAAGTGGGCTCCCAGGCTAATAGTAATTAAATGTATTTGGTCAAAAAAAATCTGTATTACACACAGGCATACAAAGTATTCATGAATGTGAAAATCTAAGTCCAGGCCGATTCAAAAGATGACAGTTAAATTGGAACCTGTCATGCAGGGCTGAGCACCTAGCATAAGGTAGCAAGTAGCCAACTCCCACTGAAATCAAGTGTTCTTTATTTCCCAGTAGCAGTGTCTTCAATGAGGCTGGGAGTGATCAGTTAAGCTCATTATAAAAGGCATCTTGTTTTACTAGGTTTTATTAACTGTAAGGGTCTTAGTATACTTTTCTTTCCACAAATATTTACTCTTAAAACCTTCAAGTTAAGATTTTGTACTAGATTCGGATCTTTGTTTCAATGCAAGTCTAGAATAGCTCCACTAGCATAACAAAAAAAAACAAAGTAATTCATGTACAGACATGCACACAAATTCAACATCCACCTTTTCCAGTTTTAAGCTCAAGTTTGAAACTGGTCTCAACTCATAACGTAGCAGTGAAACAACAACACTGAAGTGAGTATAGAATACAAATGTTCTGAATTCAAACCCCAGGAGCACATATAGCCTCACTCTGAAAGGGGCCTTTACACTCCTTACCATTCTCGTTAGTTTTCAGCAGTTGTTTACTTTCCTCCAATTTCTGAACAGTGGTGTCCAGCTGCTCTTGTAAGTTCAAGGCCTACAAAGTATAATGGTTTTAAAGCATAAGTGAACCCAAACAGCTTAATCTTCACAAAAAAGCATATCAAGAATAAGCTTATCATTAAGAAAAAGAAGTGTGCCAATGCTAATACTAACATTGTTCCTAATTACGCATTCTTCTCCATAACAAATCGATATGATACCCATAAAGCAGATTGCAAGTTTCAAAACAATGATAACCTGCCCTCTATGAAGTTGTGGTAAAATCTTGCATACTACAGGTACATTTTAATTAATGTCTTTGTATTTTTCCATGTGCAATACAAGTCCCAAACTGTATGCTTTTTACCTTTTCCTCTTTTTGTTGAAGAGCCTGTTTCACATTATTAAGCTCCAGCCTCTCCTTTTGCAGGATTTGCTCCCTCTCCCCTAGTAATTTTTCCTGTTGCATTGTCACTGCATTTTTTAACTTCATCTTCTCCATTAATTTCTTCATCTCTCCCTGGAGCTTTTTGATAATTTCATTAGCCTATAAAAATAAATACGATGAATGACAAAACCGTAGATAACACTGAACAAAACATTTGCAAGAGTCTTACTTTCAGAAGTTCCTCAGAAATAGACTTCACAGTTGTTTCAAGCTTCCCAATTTGCAACTGCTTCTTCTCCAGAGACTCTTCCAACTTTTTCTGAAAGGGAATTTTGAATTAATGACTAGCCAGTGTCAGCATAAACCAAAGCTGAAGCTTAGTGACATTGATGAATGGAAGGCTCAGAGGATTAGTAACAGGACACAAAGCATTTTATTTCTAGGTCACTAACTAAAACCCAGTGACGCTTGACAGGCTATAGAGGAGTACCGGTTTATAAAATTCACACAAGGCCTGTGTTGTTAACCGATGACAGCCCAGTTGAGAAGGGATTTACTCAGAATAGCATCCCTAATGACCATCTCAACATAAGTGGGTGACTTCCTGTATTTTTTCCAAATCCAAAATGACTGAAATTTGTTGTAATTTTCCACTTCCAAAAATCTAATGATTGGAGAGTTGTCTTAAAATTTCATCCTCCTCCCCGATGCTGCAGGAAAGCTGCAGCACAGGGACAAGTAGAGGCAGAGAGAGGGGAAGCAGGAAGCCTGCCCACACCCTTTGCTTATCTACCTAATCTCCCCCTTTCATTGCTTTCCCCACTGATCCGAGCCCAGGGGTGGCTCCAGAGCCACTCTTGCTCCAAGCTTCAGTGAGCCCACTGGCAGATTTCAGATTTTTCCTTCCCTGCCTGGTCCCCCTCCCCAGCTGGCCAGGAGCAGTTTTGATGGAAGAGTCTGTACATCACATGGCTCCCTGCATAGCTGCTCTCTGCAGCAAGGGACAGGAAAGTCTCTGGAGCTCCCCCATGCCTGCTACAGCTGAGTCAGACTCTAGCTAGGAGCTGTGAGGGGCTGCTCTGCAGGAAGCCCAGCTGGCTTGAGATCACAGCAGCGGCAGCTTGAAGATTCTTCCTTCCCTGCTTGGCTCCCAACTCACACAGTTTTTTTTTTTATTATTATTATTTTATTTTTGTTTTGTTTTGTTTTGTTTTGGGGGGCACCAGATGCTGATAACAAGAAATCTGCATGCTGCTGATGCTTTCCCTGCCCCAGCTGGGCTCCCAGCACAGCTGTTTCTTACAGCTACCTGCTGTGATACTCGAATCTAAGATGAGGCTTTTGTTTTCCCCATGATAAATGAGGAGAGAAAAAACAACTCATCTTGGAATTGAGTAAAAATAGTACACAAAGACACAAGGATGAAAAGTCATCCTAGAAGTTCTCCACTTCCAAGTTAAGGTACACTAGCAGGGTCACATATGGAAATATATAAAATATTGCTGCTGCCTGCTCTATGAAGGGAGCTTCAGTTTCCAGGACAATCAATTCCTTCATGAGCACCAAATTCAAATATCAAATATTCATTTTAGAAAGTAAAAGCAAGCCTGAAGTATTTAAAATGTTTTCAGAATGTGTGCTTGACAGTTCTACTTCTCCTTTAAAAAACTTTTGAAATATTGAGGAGGTGTATCAATACACACGCATGTGGACATGTGCTAACAAAAATAGGGTTATGTAAAAAAAAAAATTCGTATTTATTATGACATTTCAAAGCCTTCTTACTCTTAACAATTAAACATAAGAGAAACATCTCTAGTAAGTGCAAGGTTACATTTATATGGAACAGTTTTTGAGAAAGGAGCTGCAATTCCTGACCTTGTGTTCTTGAGTACTTTCACAGACATCTGTGGTTCTTATCACTACTTGCTCTTTATCCTTCACTTCCTGTTCCAGGACAGCAATGCGTGTCCGTAGCTGGTTTAATAATTTTTCCTTCTCATGACACACTGCATCAAGAGTTGAATTTTCCCTTTGAAGAGCAAGAACTTCTTGTTTTATCCTCTGATATTCCTATTAAATTAAAAAATGCAGCAAGAAAACAGAAGAGAGCAATAAGTTTTGGCTTGAAAGCACTATAGAAGAAATTTAAGATGAGCAACCAAAGCAGTTCCTTTGGAGGACTAGAGAGCTGTAGCTGAAAACTACTGAAAGAACTGCAGGGGCAAGTTCATTCTGCAGTGGTGTGATATACACTCATGTATATCAGTTCATCACGCCATCTCCAATTTTATTAGAGAATGAAGTCAGTTATTCCATAGTAAACTTGTACATTTGCACCTTCCCCTCACTGACTCAGGGTGTACTTTGCAAAAATTCCTTATGCTTGAAGAAAGTTTCACTTCAGTTTGAGGCATTAATGCATTTATACTTTGACTATAAGATCTTAGGAACTAGCACTGTTTTCATGGATATTTCTACTGCTACACGAATAAACAGTATTTTCTTAAGTTATACTTTTGCACTAGTAATGATGTTAGGTTGTGTTAATTGGGGATTGTTTAAAAAACAAAAAACCCAAAACATGTGATGTTTTTGCAACTGAAGAACTGGCTGCCACTATTTGATGTAAATTGCTGTTAAAATTTGGTTTTCATTTATCAAGTCTGTCTTTTTTATTATGTGTGTATATATATTTAAAAAAGATTTGATTGGAACTTTTGCATTCTGTGTTTATTTAAACCATCTTTTGCCTTTCTGTCAAAAGCACCATCACTTGTGACCCTTCTGTGTAAAGGGGTGACACATAAAAGTAGACATATTCAAAGTTAATATAGCAAACCGGCAAAGTGCCAATATTGCTACTGTGCTAATGGAAGCTGTGGGCGTAGACTAGAGCTTGGAGAAAATTGCACACGATTTGGAAAGCAGGTAAAAACCCAAACAAACAAACCATGACAAAAAATTACACTGCAACTATGATTTATAATTCAAAACAGTAATTTTCTTATTAAATCTCCTTTTACCATGTAAGCAAAGACCAAAATATTCTAAAATAAAAAGGACCGCCTATGGAGTAACCAGTTCATTTAGAGTGAATTTTGTTATACAAATAGAAAAACAAACAAATGATCCTTTCCCTGACCCCCCCCCAAAAAAAAAAATAAAAACCCAAACAAGTTCCTGGTTCCTCTGCAAATGACAGTTCTTCTGCATCAGCTTCAAAATAACTATAATCTATCTTGTCACATTCTTTTGGTTACTTTTGCTTCTTGGACAAGTAAATACTTGTGAAAAGGAAAAAAAAAAGATTCTCTTACTAATTGCAAACAAGTCTCTTTCTGCTCAATTAAAATTTAAACTAAGTGGAATAATTGTACATATGGCATGCATAATAACTACAGAGATAACATCCTGTTCAATTCACTGTAATGGAAATCTACTACTCTTGCTAATAGTATATAATAGCACCAAATTAAAAGAACTAAATTAAATAGCAGGTAAAAATGTGGTGCCTTGAGCATCTCATGCAATGTGGGGGTTGGTAGCAAGGAGACTCAGAAGAAACATTTTTTTCTGAATGGAAGGAGCATTGTTGTTATGACCTTCATAAGCACTGGCCTTGCCATCTTATTATATGCAGTGTTACCATTTTACCTTAAAAGACAGAACAATATAAGTATTGGGTTTCTCATTTGGGTGCACTGTTATCTATAGCACAGCATGGAGACTTCAAAATACTAAAACTGAAGGTAAGCGGAGTCTTATGAGCACTAGAGATTGAAGATCTCTGACCTGAATGTCACACAGGCCACAGACAAGCATTGTGTGTGTGTCAGGAATACACCCTTTTCCCCCCCCCGACGCAAAAACCAAAACAAATATAGGCATCTGAGAATTTTGTGACAAGACGAGATAGCGATTGTGCCACAAACTATTAGCTACTTCAAAAGAGCAACTTCTTGGGAGATCAAAGTGTTCCCCCGCTTTCCCAAGGGGGAGGGAAAAGTTGCTAGTCTACTGATAGCCCATCCTGCCACGAGCTCAGGGTACCTAACACTACTGCCGCCCCAGCCTAATCCCAGATGGACAGAAACAGGCAGTGGGCGATTCTGTCCTGGACCCAGGGGTTATTGCCTGCCTGGTGTTCTGGCTTGAAAGCAGGTCCCCCCCAGCCCCATCACGGTGCTGCCATGGCTGCTAAAGTATGAGTTCCCCAACACCAGCAGGAGGCAGTGTTGTGGCTGTGGGCTCCAGGAACAGCCAGATACCTGCAGGACAGGGGGTCACCAACCAGAGCTGCCCCTCACCCTGAAGGATCCCTGGAGACAGCCCCCCACCCCTTTCAAACAGAGTTAGGGCACCCTGGTACTATTGAAAACATGGCACATGGCATCTCCTCCCAGCTGAACAGGACTGGGGAGCACAGGTACTGTTTGAAGGATCCCCTTACCCTAAATGTCACCAGCGATTCCCAAAAAGCTGGCCTCCCATTGCTCCCCCTTTCGGGCACACTCTGCAGATCAGTAGGGAGGAGGGGGCTCACTTTGGAGGCATCTGGGCACTGATTCAGTCAGAAGGCACCTTGACATTTCCCTCGCTCCCCCTACCCTTTTCTCACCATGCTTTGCTAGTGCTAACAATTTATCAGAAATTCTAGAGGTGCTAGTTAGTGCAAGAGCAGCTGCTCCCTAACATATTCTTAAGGCTGCTAAGTGAATGCAGTTGCAATTATGCCATAGTGAAGTTTACCCTTCACAGTCCAAAACCCCAGGGACTGTGATCATCAGAACCTTAAGCAAATGTTCAATATAATTAACAGATGAGGACAAAAGAATCACCATAACCTGTATAACATGCAGCTGTGGGCAAGAGCAACCTCACACGCAAAGGTAGTGGTGTGCATAATATGCTATGACATTCGGACAGGCATAGACGAAAGCTATTCCCTAAAAGTCTCTTTTAAACGAAAAAAAATCTTTAGATAATATTTTAATTAAAAATACTGACCATCTTCTCACAGAATTCAAAAGCTATTTACTAAGAACATGCTTTCACAGGCAGAGGGGTTTTCCTCAATCTCCTCCCTACCCACCTGAAATGGAAGTTTCTAGAAACAAATATCAGAAATCAGGGGGCAATAAATGCAACAGATAAAACTTTGTTTTCTTCCTCCTCATCACCCAGCCTTCTCTTAGGACCATGGTGTATTACAGAAAGCAAGGGTAAAACAGAAAGGGAAGGGAAGGGAAAGATTATTTTAATAGATTTATCTTCTATAGCTTTCTGAAGGGCAAAGTAACAGATCGCATCTGAAAGCTTTCATAGTTGTTAGGGGCTGGAAGAGACCTTACAGATCATCAGGTTTAGCCCCACTGCACTTGGGCAGGAAAGACTGCAGGGATCAGATGACCCCAGCAAGATGGGCATCAAGATGCTTTTTGAAGATCGCCAGGGTGGGTGACTGTACCGCCTCTGGGGGGAGCCTGTTCCAAACCCTCAGTACTCGACTTGCAAACAAGTTTTTCCTTATGTCTAGTCTGAAGTGATCCTCAAATCAGCTTGTGCCCATTATTTCTTGTCCTCCCCTGGGGGGCCTTGGTGAACAGATGCTCCTCCAGGCTCTGATGTACGCCCTTGATATACTTAGAGGCTGCCACCAAGTCCCCTCTCAGCTTTCTCTTCTCCAGACTGAACAGTCCCAAGTCCTTCAGCCTCTCTTTATATGAACTGGTCCCTAGGACTAGGGACAGACATTACACAAACTGATTTAAGTGATCAGAAATTGGCTTAAACCTGTAATAGAACAGATGTTCAGTGTATATAAACCACTTTGAAAATGGCTGAAACTGGTTTGAGATAAACCTGGTTGAATGTAGTATCAGAGTTAACTGATTTGGCTCAAACCGATTTATGCAATGTCTGTCCCAGACCCCTTGCTGGTTTAAGTTAAATCAAACTCCCCCAGCAACCCGGCATGCTCTCTGGGCTGAGTTGGGCTCTCTGCTCCACAGCAGGGCTGCCCTCTGCCCCCCGCCGCCAGAACTCCAGCAGACTTGCAGGCACAACAGGGTCTGCTGGCTTCCCCGTGCTCCCCTCCCCCCACCATCTCACCACTCGCTGCTTAAGCATAGATCCCTTCCTCCTCTCTGCCACATTACAGACCATAGCCAGCACGTGGTATGCTAGCTAATGCAGTATAAGGCTCCAGCAGAGACTGCAGACACAGCAGTCTGCCTGGCTTCCCCCTGCTCTACCCTCCACCCCGCCCCACCCGCTGCTCAAGCAGGAAATCCCCCCTCCCATCTCCCACAGCACAGACCCCAGCTCCAGGGACCCTAGGCATGTGATTTGCTAGTTAATGCCAAGAGGTATCTGTGTGTATGTGTCTCTCTCTCCAATTTCACTGGGGCAGGCAGACAGAACAGTAACTGCTTAGGGCTATTTGGAGCTAATCATCAGTCAGTAAACTATTTAATAAGTCTGAAGTAAAAGAGAGAGGCCATTGTCTTGCTAATCAGGTGATAGACTGTTATCACTATCAGCCTTCATCTGGTTTGCCTGTCAGTTTGCTGCAGACAGTATGACAAAGCAGGGCAGGAGATTGAAAAGCTCCATATCATCAACAGATGCATGCACTTAACTGTCCCCTCCTCCCCTTGCCTCAGAGTGCTAGCCCAGGGCTGGGGCTGGCAACACTCCCACCCCTTGAGCAGCCAGCAGGGAAAATCCTGGGACCATGCAGGTAGACCTCCCTAAAGAGTCCTGCCTGGGCCTGGCCATGCCCCCCTCAGCTCAGCTTCCTGCAGAAGGGAAGGGAGGGCTGCTATAGCACCCCCCAGCTCCCTGGTGGCCAAGGAATTCCTGCTCCACTTCAGCTCCTGGGCATACCCTCCTTTTTTTACCTCGCCCACCACACCTTGATGGAACTTTTATAGTGTTTAGGGAGGCTGCTCCTGAGTCAGAGTGAGCCCCAGTTCACTTTAGCTTGTGCTTCCCATACTCATACCCAGCTGGCCTTAGTCATGCCCCTCAGGCACAGAGTTGCAGCCCTCCTGGCCCCATCAGTGCCTCAGGGCACCAGTTGCCTTATGGGCTTTATTCATGGCCTGCGCCCACCCCTGTATCCATACCCATGCCTCGCAGGTGTTACTCCAAAATAATTTGAAGGAGGTCCCCTGGCCCCAGCACAGCTTGTGGTTCTCAGAACTTAAACCACTGTCCAGGATTCAACCTTCCTGGCCTTGGCCTTTTTATTCTGTCTGCACGCCTCAGCCCAGGACCTTGGCTTCTGGGCCCCAGCCTTCTGTCACAAACTCATGAGCTCCAGGCCTCTGGATCTCTCATGCAACAGGTCCCTTGACCTAGCCTACACTCTCAAACTCTAAACCAGTGGTGGGCAAAATCGCAGATCCTGCAGGAGGCTGCACTCCATTTCTCAGCAGCCCCTGTCCGCATCACCAAGGCCAGTTTCTATACAGACCCCAGCAGCAGCAGCACCGTGAGAACATGGGGCCAGGGTTTTGAGGGAGACTGGCCCAAGCAGCACTGACAGGGCACATGGCTGGGCAGGGAGCTGCTCCGCAACCAGGGCTGGGTGACAGGGGCAGTGGTGACAGGCCCATGCAGGCAGTCAGCTACAGCACTGTCCTGGCTCCAGACCACACTGTCACTGCTGCAAGATCTCAGCCCTGGAACAGGTCCCCACCAAGCTGTGCTCCCTGCCAGTGTGGCTGAAACCAACCTCCATGGAAACCCTGGCCCCGTGTTGTCCTAGCACTGCCACTGCTGGGCCTCCATGGAAACCAGCTTCAGTAACACGGGCCACGGCTGCTAGGAAATGGAATCTGTTTCCAGTCCATGGTTCTGATCAGGTCTGCCTTTGCCTGCCCCTGCTCTAAACCATCCTTCAGCACTCTTGAGTCTCTGATTCCAGGGGGGGCTGCTTTCACGCTGTGTGGCTTCAGCCCTCCCAACCTTGGCTTAACTTACTCAGCCCTCAGGATCTCTGACTCCCTGCTAATTACTGTTACAGAGTGCCCCACCAGGCACTCCTGTACTACAACCATAGGCAACTGGTGCCTCCTGAGTCT